CTTCTGGAGTTCCAACAAGATTTATGTCATAAACATAAACAGAAAGTATAACAAATTCTGATGATATTTTCATTATAAAAAATACATGGACAAATAACATCACTTACGTAACCCTCTTTCAGCAAATATTCACTAAGGCGATTACACCACATGCGCCCAGATTCCTTTAAACCGTACAAAGACCTTTTTAATCTGATCGAGTATATTTCACGAGACTTTGAACTATATGCTTCAGGCATTTTGAATCCTTCAGGGATCTTTATAGAGATTAATCAAATGAGTCATACACTGTAACAACCCGGCCGATCGTTTTTAGAATTTACGCCCCGATCCCCTATTAACTACTTTCCCCGTGTTTATTTCTGCTATTTTGAAATTGCCGGGATGTTCGGTTTTGAGTTTCGGAGAGTTTTGGGACACTTAGTCCCTAAATGAGAGCTTAAGTGTTGGAAATTTGACCATAGTCGGAACAGTGTGAAGACGGCCTTGTAATGGGATTTCAATGGTTCCGTTAGCTACATTGGGTGATTTCAGGTGAAAGAGCGTGTTCGGATTGTGTTTTGGAGGTCCGTAGCTAATTTAGGCTTGAAATGCCGAAAGATGGATTTTAAGTTCTGATTCGATGGTGAGATTTTGATCCGAGGGTCGGAATGGAATTCCGGAAGTTGGAGTAGCTCCGTAGTGTTGAATGTGACGTGTGTGACTAAAATTTCAGGTCATTCGGACGTAGGTTTGATAGTACTTTTTGATCGAAAGCGTTGTTTTTAGTAGTTTTTGGAATTCTTAGGTTTGATTTCAATGTAAATTTGGTGTTTTGATGTTGTTTGGGAGTTCCGAGGGTTGGAACAAGTTTCAATGAGGTTACGAGATATGTTGGCTATTTTTGGTTGGGGTCCCGAGGGCCTCGGGTGAGTTTCGGAGGGTTGAACGGACCATTTTAAGTTAAAGAAAAGTTGCAGATTTTGGTTTCAGTTGTTGCATGTATTTTACTCTTCGCGTTCACGAGTGGACCCTCGCGTTCGCGAAGAGTCAGTTGAGGAAGAGAGAATTTAAGCCTTCGCGTTCGCGAAGGGCTAAGTGTTTTGTGCATCATGTTCGCGGGATAGTGTCGCGTTCGCATAGAAGAAAAAAGCAGCTGGGCTTCAGTGGACTTTTGCTCTTCGCGTTCGTGATAGGGGTAACGCGACCGCGAAGGCCTGTCTAAGCAAAGCATCGCGTTCGCGATTGGGTGGTCGCGAACGCGAGGCTTTGACCGCGTTCGCGAAGAAGGATTTCAGGCTTGGGCA